CCCCCGGCACCGCCCGCGCCTCCCCGTCCTCACCCCCGTCTCCGCCCCTTCCTAGGCAGAATAACCTCCTCTCCTCTTCTTTGGCATTAAAGGCCTGTCTTCCCAGCGTGGCGCGGGGGGCCCTGACCATCGCACAGGGGTGTCAATTAAATTTGATTGACTGAGTAAAAGAAGCACACAAATAAGCCAAAACAACAGACGAAAAAATCTATACATGACTCCTGCACAACCACTGCCCCCCGTCCCACCCCACCCCACCCGCCCTCTCCATCCCTCCACCCGGGCTGTCAAATCAAGCGCTTGACTCGTCTGTTTTCGTGGCGTGAGCCGCCAACGTCCGCCGACAGACAACTGCTGAACGAGTATGTGTGTGTGTGGGGAGGGTGCAACCATCCCCGGGTGCCCCGCCTGCCCTGTCAGCCCTCAGAAACCCCCCCTCTCCCGCCCCTTTACAACCACCCCCAAAACACCCTCCACATCTACAACAGAGACAACCAATTAGCAGCTGTGGAGCATCAAGGCGGCTGCAGAGCAGGGGCCTCTGGGTATTGACTCAAATTGTTGTCCAATAAATGAGGTCTAATTTATCAGTTTAACTTTACCTTCCTGCCCCGCTGAAGAAACCCAGGGAGGAGAACGAGGAGAGTGGGGGGAAAAAACAAAACAAAAAAAAACAAAAACAAAACAAATAGCTCTTGTGTTTTTGTTCCACAGAAGTGGAAGTGTTTTCGAAATTCGGAAATCCCCCGATGGAAACTCGTCTCTCCGTGCGCTCTTTACCTTATTGTCAGCCGCCGAGCTCATATTTCATATTTGCGTCGATGATTGAGGGGCACTATTACAGCGGACCCCCATTAGGCTCCGGGGGGAACGGGCCGGCCCCTGCACGGGAACCGTCAAAGGCCAATTTGCAACACAAACACCATCAATTCCGCGGCGATAAGTGACTGTTTTTGATGCTGCCGACGTGTGCAGAAATAGATATAGACGCTCCGTTATGTATGTCCGTTTAATTAGCAAACAGCACAACTCAGAGTGGACATTCATCTTGATCGGCAGTGGTCAAAGATGAGGTCTGAGTTGAGGATTTCAACTCCAAAACCAACTCGCGCATTGTATTTTCAAAAAAACAATTAAAAAAAAAAAGCTCTTAGAACTGTCTTTATATCGTCAACCGTACTACAATACAAAGGTTTTTGCTGTACTGAGAACGGAAATTAAATATTTTGTTTAAAAAAAAAATGAAGGTGAGCAACAGCGCCCTCTGTCGTAACGCGTTGTACTTTCACCGTTTGATAACATTGACTCTTTAACGCTGTGATTTCAGGAAATTAGATTAGTTTGTTCGATGTAGCCTGGGTGCACTAAACTAGCGATTCACGATGTTCAAGTTTATCTAGAACAGATACAGTATCTTCAACTTCTTTTTCGCCACAGTGACGTAAAAACACTTTTAAATTTAAAACTCACCGTAACGCTGAACGCCACACGTTATATAAATAACGTTTGACGCCAAACGCTGTAGCGTAAATGCAACTGTCTTTTATTGTGAAAGTAAAGGACCGTTTCCTCTGCTTGACTTCCGCTCTGCACAGCGCTTTGTCAAGTCGAGACGCTTGTAAATTGGGGAGAATCCGGTTGTTTTTTCAAAATAAAATAATCGCTTTAATAAATCGATAGATTTAAAATACTTTCACCAATGTTGACACTACTCAGCCAATCAGGGCAGAAGAAATTACGTCACTTTTAATAGGTGAAAACCCACATATGGTTCATATTGTTTTTCACTAATTCCAAAGGTTTTTCTTATAGAAATGTCACATTAACTTATGTTTATTTTATACGGACTTTGTTAAACATCCAACAAAAACAAATTCCGGAAAACATTTTATTTCAGTTTGTAGACAGTTGTTACAACAGTTTAAATTACAGGGATGAAAAGCAGCTGCATATCTTTGTGGACACTGATTAAATTTAAAAAGGAATCTGATTCAACATTCGGCAAAATTTACTTTGTCGTCTCCATCTCGTCAATTGCACTCAACGTTCATCCAGTCATTGGTCCGTGTACATTTGTAACAAAAATGACCCTTAAAAAATGTACTTGGTACTGTTGTTTCTCCAGAACACAGTCAATACAAACGTTATTTGGACACGCTGTGGGGAAAAATGTTTTCGTTTCACACAAGCGCCTAGAGACTCAAATACCGTCTCAACTCCCAACTTTTTTTTTTTTCCAAGGCTTCAGTTTCAGGTCAGACTTGACTTCATTTATTTCAATTAATCACGATTAATTGAAATTTAAAAAAATACTAATTGTAACTTCACTCCATATCAAACACTGACTAGTGTCTCCGTTGTAGTGTCTTCGTCTACACGGTACAACCAGCTGCTGTTGTACAAGGTGCATAGTCAAAGCTCCCGTTCTCGGACGTAAATGTCGACTTTTCGCCAAAAAAAAAAACAAAAAAAAAAACTGCATAGACAATAAAAGTGTTAAAAAAAAAATTTTTAAAGTGTGTAACATAAGAAAATTAAATACTACCACAGCTAGCTGTACTGCGTACAAACAGTGGTATTAAAGTATTTGTCGTGCTGGCTACGCACGTGCGCTACGTGCGTGATTATAACGTTCGGAATCATAGCATAACGATCACATGTGCGTAAACATAAATATCGAAAGAGAAACGCGTCGGGCTTTCAGTCTGGGCAGAGCAGAGATAAAGAAAATGGACAGTTTTTGGTCCAATAAGTAAAAAAAAAATTGCAACGAAACGAACAAACAAACAAAACAACAACTGTTTGTGCGGAATTCACACACAATGTCAACGCAGAGAAATACGTCAGTGGCTGAATCTTCTGGACTTCCTGAACACCTTGACAGACGAGGAGGAGGAGTCAGACGGCGGTGCAAAATAACGTCTTGATTCAGCTGCTGCCTCCTACTCTGCCGCTAGGTGGCAGCAGATACATATAAAATAATTCCAAAAAAGCCTCAGATCATGAAAGTCAGAGGAGCTTTTTTTGTTTGTGGAAGTCTTTGCTTTTTTTTCTCCTGCCCACGTGGTCCACGAGGTGACCTGTTTGATTGACAGGTTCTCCTGTTCTTCTGAGGTTCTTCGGACGTTCTCTCACAGTTCGCTGGGTTCATGTCGTCAAACGTTACTGCTTTTACTTTTCCCCCTGGCTCCGCCTCCTCCTCCTCCTCCACCTCCACCCTTGATCTCTAACTTCTTTCCCGGTGAATTCTGACTGTTGGTCAGTTTGATGGTGGAGCCTGACTGACCTCCTCCCCCACTGCTGTTGTTGTTGTTACTGTTTCCACTCAGCGTCTCCATGATGGAGCGGAACGCTCCGAACGAACGCTTGCTCTCGGAGCTCCCCGTCGGAGTCCGCTCCTTTCCTTTGCTTGGCTCCGCCTCCTGACCGGCGCTCTTGTGGACCTGCTCGTCGAACGTGACCCTCAGTTTGAGGTTCTGGGAGGTCTTCCTGCGAGACGACGGAGACTTCAGTGCGCTCTTGGGGCTGGTGGCCGCTTTCTGGCCGTTGGCGCCGTCCTGCGAGTCGACGGAGGCGTCCGGCGTTTTGCCGTCTGCGGTGTCGGGGTCGCTGGGGGTCGGGGAGGGGTTGTACCCCATACTGTCCATGGACTTGGACTCGGCGAGAGAGAAGGCCTGCTTCCTCTCAGGTGTGGCGGCGGGCGGGAGGTGCTTCCTCATCATCAAGTGAAGGTGGTTCGACACGGGCTCCTCCTCTGCGATCGGTAAATGGGAAGGTCGATCGGGGCAACTGGCATTCGCTCGGCCGTCTTCCGGCGGATAACCGTCGGTGTCGGACTCGCTCAGGGAGCGCTGCATGATCTGTTTGAGTCTCGCTAGTTTCAGCTCCCTTCTTTCCATCAGCCCCACCCTGCGGCCCCCCGTGGCCCCTGCGCTGCAGGGCCCCTCTCGGGTCACGCCGCCCCCTGCTGGTAGCCTTTCCTTGGGACCCAGCGTATCTGGCACATCCTTGCTCAGCAGCTGCCTGAACACGAAGCCCTGACTTACACTGCCCTGATGGACCAACCAGTGGTTGTCACCCAGAGTGCCCTCTGCTGTCAACATCATCTCTGGCCACGCCTCCACTGAGGGTTGATGGGAACTGGAGTCCAGACAAAAATAAATAAATAAAAATTTTGACATCTCCTCCTCCTCCTTCTCCTCCTCCTCCACTACCTCCACAGTTACACGTGTGTTCTCTGTGTGTCTGTGTCACCTTGGTGAACGTGAAGGTGTTCCCTCTGCCTTGATGGGATCCATGAGTCTCTGCAGCTGTTTCTGCAGCAGCAGCCTCTCTGTGGCCTGTCTGCAAAATCAAAGAAATATATACAATTCAAAAAATAATTAATTATATATATATATATGTACATATATGTATACATACGTATATGTACATATGTATATATGTACATTATATATGCATATATATGTACATATATTTATATATACATATATACACATATGTACATATACGTATGTATACATATATACGTACATGTACATATATATGCATATATACATATATGTACATACATGGATATATGTATATATACATATATATGGGTCATCCATATATATGTACATATGTATATATGTACATTATATATGCATATATACATATATACACATATGTACATATATGTATACATACATATACACACACATAATTTTTTATACATATGTATATATATACACACATATAGGTATATGTGTATATATGTATATATAAATATATGTACATATGTAAATATGTACATATATCTGAAGAATATCTTCAGATATTCTTATTTTAAAGATCGCCGTCAGACTTCAGGACCAGTGCTCCCAGACTTACTCGTTCAGCTGCTTGGTGAGTTTCACCACCTGTGACGCCAGCGACATGCACGTTTCCACCACCACCAGGTAGCGAGCACAGGTCGTGTGCCCCTGCCGCTCGGCACTCTGGGAAGGCCGCTCCCCGGCCTGGTTCTGGACCGTCACGTTGGAGCCGTACTCCACCAGTGTCTGTGGAGAAACAGAATGGAAACGGAAACGTCCGTCACCTCAAAACACTCAAAAAAGTTTCAAGACATGATGTTTAAATTCCCGCAGGCGTCAGTAACACACCTGTATGCAGGTGAGGTGTCCGTACTGAGCGGCAACGTGCACGGCGGTGTTGCCCTTCTGGTCAACTTCGTCCAGAGAGATGGCTTGTTCCTGCATGAACTGAAGTAACCATAGCAACACCTTCTCCTGAAGAGACACGGGAGACACGCAGGAAAACATTTTCTTCAACACAATGTGTTTAAACGCTGGAGTCATGCAGTTCTTCTGCTTGTCCACACGGGAGCGGTAGTGTGTGTGTGTTTTACCTGTCCATAGCGAGCGGCGTAGTGGATCAAACTGGGGTGCTCTCTGGTGCAGCTCAGCTCGGCGATGGCCTCGGTCTCACTCACCATCCACCTCACACACTCCAGATGACCGTTCTGAAACACACACACACACACACACACGCACACACACACATATTTTTATCATTAGTGGCGATACAGTTGCTGTGATTTTAGTCGTCGATAAGAACACGACATGGAGTCGGTTTCCCAGCTTAACTCCTGACGACACCACTTCCTGTCTGGCAGCCAATCAGGACTCTAGTTTTCACGGCCCGGACACGAACACATTCCACCCTGCGTCTGTATTTACAGTAGGATGTAGTAGGTTCTCTAGTTTGATCTGACTTCCTTACAGACTTCCGTCAGCCAATCAGAGATGTCAAGGGAGCAAAATGGCGGAGGCCAGACTATTCAAGTTGCGAGGGCTGACGTGCACTCAGTAGACGTAAACTCAGATGCAGTATCACTCTCTCTCTCTCTCTCACTCTCTCCCTCTACCTTGACCCCGAGGCCTGCGGGGGTCAGCTGCTGGTTGCTGCGTTCCGTCAGACCGTCTTCCCCCATCAGCGAGGTGAGGTGCTGCAGACAGTCGGCGTGGCCGTGGGAGGCGGCGATGTGGAGCAGATTGTTGCCGTCGTCGTCTCTGATCAGCTCCAGGTTGTCTGCCGCCAGGTGAGGCTTGAGGGGGAGGCAAAAGAGAGAGAGAGACAACATTGGACAAGAGGAGCGGCAGCAGAAACGAGGGGACAGTGATTTGACTCCACTCGTACCAGCAGGGAGATCTGTCCTTCTCTGATGATGTTCATGATGTTCTGGTTCTTCTTCGCCTCCTCGTCCATCTCTCCTCCTCCTCCGAGGAACCCCCTCGGACCACCACCCACTCCCGGGACTACTCCCGATCCAACAGTCCAAGATTTAGAACCATCCTGCCGGGCCACACCGCACCCCGGCAGGGAGTGCATCAGACCCAGTTGCTCCAGGCTGGGGCGCTGGGTCTGGGAGTCGGGGAAGACTCGTGCGGACAGCAACTTGTCTGGAAGACATCAGAACGAGGTTTCGGTGGGAAAATCCACAAAAAAAAAAAAGAAGTCACAGGTGATTCATGACATACCTGCGTCGGAGAAGGAGGAGAAAGAGGAGGAGCAGCTGAGGTGTCCCGAGGAGAGCAGCTCCTGCTGGTAACCTCCTCGAGCCAGGGAGCGGTGGAGGTGGTGGAGGTCCGGATCCATGGACTTGGACTTCCTGAGGTCCGACCAGGTCACCGGAGACAGAACGCAGTACTGACAACAACAACAAAAAAAATCACAGAAGGTGAAGAAAATAGACGGTTCTCAAAGTAGGGGGCGTGAACATGAACCCGGCAAACGGATATGATTCTCTATGTTTTTTTTCTTCAAAAATCACACATGGAATTTTAGTTAAAGTTCAGAGGGAATCCTAAGCAAAAGCTTCGAGGGGATGGGGTGGGGAGGCACATGGGGGGGGCAATAGTGTTATCCAATAGAGTAAGGCGAAGCAGAAACTTTTTGTGAAATCAGGAATCAATGAAAAACTGATCAAGAGCTGGAGTTCTCACATCAGATTTTTTATGGGGGGAAGAGGGAGGGGTGATCACCTCACCCATTTGGGTCAGTAGGTGGAATCGAACCCGGAGCTACTGCATGACAGGCACCAAAACAACCTGCATTTGTACCTGGGGCCAGAGAAATGACAACCGGCAGAAGAACCGTACCTGGGTCTGTGAGCTGCTACTGCCGCCCAGGCTCAGAGGTTCATTGTGGGACAACATGGAGCTCTTCAGCCCCCCGCCACCACCACGGTTCCTCTCCAGGGTCCCCCCGCCCAGGTTGGTCCCCGTCACAGAGCGTTTGTCGTGAGAGATACGGGGCAGCGTGGACATCTGCTGGCTGGACTTGATGTAAGGCACGTCCAAGATCTCGTCCATGTCCAGGTCATAGTGTTCCAGCTCTACGAACAGGGCCTCGGGGTTGTTCCCACCGGTGTCGCCCCCCACGCCGCCCAGACCTTTGACCTTTCCGACCGACACCTCCGAGGGCGCGGACGTTTGACTGGGCTTCTCTGAGCTGGGGTCATCTTTGCTGCCCTCTCCCGGTTCGCCCGGCCCCTGACCTTGGACTTTGGAGCCGTCCGAGTCGGTCTCCGTGGTCTCCGGTTGGTGTTTCAGAGGCGAGACCCTCTTCACCGGCCGGAACTTGCTGTGGACCTCCGGGAGTCCGGTGGGTTTGATCCCACCTCCCCCGCTGAGGGAGGACACGCTACGGCTCCAGTTGATGGCAGGAACTGAGGAGGGGAAGGAGGGAGAAGACACAGGTCAGAGAAAGTCCTCGAGTCCAGGACCGCGTCTTGGGTGCTGCGAGTGACTGAGTTTGAATCCCGAACATTAGCTTCCTGTCTCTGCCCTTTGACCTCTTCTCACGTCCTAGAAAATTACCCTTAAAATATCAGGAGTCGGGAGGTGCGGGGGGGAAAATACAGTATATCGACATCTATACTACAGTACTTTCCTGTAGAAGTACTACACACATATATTCACCATATTCCGGAACATATCCTGTCAATAACAGAGAAAAAGAAAAAAAAACTCTGGAAAAATAATTTGATACGGTTCAGGTTGTGGACGTTGACGTCACCTGGTCTCTCCTCCACCAGACCATCGCTCCTCCTGGTCAGCTCGGGAATGCTCTTCAGAGAAGTCACAGCATACTGGAGGAGAACGAGAAAAAAATGAAAAAAATGAAGACTTGACTTTTAAAGATTTCCCTTCAGAAAATTAAGGAATCGAAAATAAAAATCATCAATGAGGATGGGATTCGAACCCACACGTGCAGAGCACAATGGATTAGCAGTCCTTCGCCTTAGCCACTCAGCCACCTCTTCACATGACTGGCTTGATTTTTATTTCACTTTGTCGTTACAAATTTTTTAATTTTGACCAATTGTGAAAGATAATTTCACGAAAAAAGAAGTCAAAATTTTATATGTAAGTAACGTAAAAAACCACTGTGTTCTGTGTTTTTGTTTGTTTAACGGACTCCACTTCAGGTCATTCATTATTAACGAGGACAGGTGAACGAGGTCACGGCCGAGGTCGTACTGACCACTGAATCATCGGAGAAGTCAATCTCGTCCAGGTCCAGGTATTCAGGAGCCTCCATCTTCACACCACATCATCGGCCGGACCACCAGCTGCAGTCGGGACAAAAGACGACATCACTTCCTGTTTATGTCAAATTACTGCACAGGAAACTTTTCGGAATGACAGATTTTCCGTCTGACTAAAAAAATATGTTCTTTGTCCGCAGAGTCAAAACTAGGGATGTCTGATATTGACTTAATTAATATCCGATATGGCAATATTGTCGAAACACTTAATTTCCAATTCCGATATCGATCGATACCGATATTCATTAGTACAAACCACTGTATGAGTTGCTGGCACCAGAGTTCTACATACAATCCGATTATCTGATTATCAAAATAGATTAATAAAATGAGCTGCAATGCTGCCATCTAGTGGGTTTCATTTAAATATACAGCCGTTTTTCCCCCAAAAATATTTTTAGGTCACACATCATTTGACGGAACCCAGGCATTGCGTTATCGGGTTTTCATTATCGGAGGAAAAACCGATATCGATTCTCACAGATTCATAATTATGCTAATATCGGACATCCCCGGTTAAAACTTATTTTTACAGCATGAACAGACAAAAACCGCTCAGCTGGTTAAAGAAAAAAAAACAGAACTAATGACAGAGCAGGAACACAAGAGGAAGAAACGACCGTGGTGAAAAGAAAAAAAAAAAGTACCGTGAGAGTATTTGTTAGCTACTCCAGTACTTTGCCGCTCCACAAACTGAAGTAAAAAAAACTGGAACTGTCCCTTTAAAGCGACTCTGCCTCTTGTTGTTTTGATGGCCCCTGTGTTTAAGTGAGTCTGTTTTCAGACTGCGTGGGCGGAACCGCAGAAGTGAAGCCGGTTGAAATAAAAGCCCGTGATTGCAGCTTTGAGGAACAGTGAAGCCGAAACATCCTTGATAACGACAGAGCGGCTCCGAGAACGAGACGAGACGAAACAAACAAATAAAAAAACAGCAGAGGAAGAGATGATTCGAAAACCTATTCCTGATTTCAATCGTCAAACCTCTGACGTCGACTTGCGTGGACGTGGAAGTCTCTCCGAGGTCGACGGTTTGAAGCTGCAGCTTCTGCGCCAAATAAACCGAGCCACACTTGGAAGTAGGCGCGCGGTGAGGGCAATAATTAGAAGCGCCCTGGAATACCACGACGAGTCTTCAGATCATCCGAAGGCGGGTCGCACTGCGAGACGATCAACGCTACGCAGATTTTTTTTTAAATTTTTTTCGCAGTGGGCTACCACCTGCCCCAAACACGTAGTTTTACTTCTAACTTCCAGGAAAGTGAGCACACAACCATGTGACCTCAGTATTTTATCGCATCACCAGATTCAGCAGGTGGCAGTACGCGGGTTCAGTGCCATGTTAAAAGTACCTTTATCATGGCACAGGTTTCAGGACTCGAACGTTGAAACCTTCCGGACCCTAAATAGGCGTCCTCAACCACCAAGGTCACCACTGTCCCAATAAAATAAGTTCAGGCCCCAGCGAGATTTGAACTCGCGACCCCTGGTTTACAAGACCAGTGCTCTAACCCCTGAGCTATGGAGCCGTACGCTGCTAATACCAAGAGGTAGTAACAATGAGCTTGTTTAGCATAAAGTTGCTCGTTGGCACCTAGACACAGATAAATTGCTGAGGCAGGGGGCGCTATATAGACTTGGCCTTTGTTCACGAGAACGCAACCCTAACTGAGGTCAAAGGTTGGCGGTCGTGACACTGTAGCTCCCTATTACGGTCGCGGTTCGTAAACCTGTACCACCACCGGAAATATGTCTCACCAAAACCACCAACGAAGAAGAGAATTCATTCCTGTTATGATCATTTTTTGTGACACAAATAATATCCATTAAAGAATGGAAAAAAGTTTTCGTTACTTTTTTTACTTTCCCAAAAAGAACAAAACGACGTTAATAGCGTCATTTTGTCAACGAAAACGACGCTCATTTCGGTCAAGAGAAAAAAAAAAGTGTCATTTCCCAGCAGTAGATTCGTGTTGTTTTTCTAGTCTATTGTTATTATTTTAACTTAATGGTTGATTCGCTGTTGGACGAAGACTCCGAAGAGTCCGGTGTTTATTTTCCCCGACTGACGCCGGAGTTTCCTGCTCCTGTCCTCCGTCGACTCCACACTTTAATCAACTCAAACCCGCTGTACTCGCCTAGCAGCTGTATGCTAACGGACTAACGGGCTGGCTAATGCTAATGCTAATGCTTACCAGACAGAGAGACAGAGAGAGCGA